ACAAAACTCCATGGGCATTTATGAAGTGTGTCTTTCTTTAAGAAAGTGTGTTCAATTCAGTTATTTAGGCATCTCATACATGTTAACAGAAGTGCATCTCAATGTCTCTTAAGTTTGTATTTGACACTCGGGGCAGTAACTAGCTAACATGGGTATCAGTTTTGCAGGATCATCTACAAAAAGTTAACTTAAGTGTATTCCTGTAAGTTGAAATAGAGGGCCTATGATTAGTGTGCATTTGAAAGAACTTCCTGCAGAAGTCAATCCTTAGGTTAAAAAAAATCTGAATGCTAAATCAGTTAACCAGACGTAGCTTAGGCCAATTTGACCTTCATTTCCTACAAGGGAGGCAGTTGTTTAGGTACATACCATAGTTTTTGAGGTGCTGTTTATCATAGAGCATTATTAATAGTCATTGACCACCATTAATGGCTGGTAAAATGATTCTCAAGATACAGGAGAATCTGATTCTTCTTCTTTATTTCTTCTGTGTTTTACTTTAGGTAACTTTATGTATATGTAGTTGATATGCGGCTGTTCTACTTCTGATCATTGGTCATGTTGGTGATTTGTGAGAGTGGAGACCACAACAGGTTGCCTTCCTACATTCTGTAAGGATCTGCCAGGCTATCAATTCCCCTGGTTACACTGTTTGTAATTTATCTGTTCCAACCTAATGTCTCTGGAAGTACTAAAATTATAGTTCTCCTCATCTCCAACCAGCAAGGTCAATGGGGATAACAGGAATTAATAATATAATGGAATTGGAAAATATCACAGTTGAAAAGATTGCTATTAAACTTCATGGATTTTTTTAAATGTAATTGTCAGTGGGATGCTGGGATCTGCTTAATTCAATATGTGGCTTTTATTTTATTTTGGTAGAATACTAAATTCATTCTGGGCTGTGCCTAATAGCTTTTGTATGTTGATGAGACTTAAGTTCTAACATAAATTTTCAGAAGTTTTAAGTATTTGTGGCAATATTTACACACTTTGTAACTGTGTATGTTTTGGAGGAGTGAGTTTTTCTTCAATCTGTGATTAATTTCCAAAGGGAATTGAGTTAGTATAATATTCATTGGATTTCTACCATCCACCCAGCTGTTGGTTTCCACTGACAAGCTTCCTTCTTATGCCTATGCTATATTTTTCCAGTCATGGTTCCAGCGGTGGGTTTCACATTTTCTTACCACTGGTTCGGCCCCTGTGCACCCTCCACCAGTGCCCGCCCGCCTGCCAGTGCCTGCACTTTGCTCCGTCAAGTGCCTTCCACGCGTGCACCTGGCCTCAAAAAAGTGCCTTAAAAAGACAGCATAGAGACAAGGCGGATGGGGACTCCCACCCACAATTTCCGCTACTGATTTGGGCGAACCAGTCCGAACTGGCTGAATACCATTTCTGCATGGTTCTCATTGATATATGGAAGTTCTACCAGTCCAAATACAAAGAATTTGCAAGCCTTTGTTTAGGTCTGAATCAGAACAAGGAAGCACGCAGGCATTCTCATCCGTGTAATGGCCAGCAGCTTGCAACGTTCATGCCAAGGAAACTTCATTAAGGTCATCGGCTAATCTTTTTTGCATAATTGCAGGTTTTAAAGGTAAATAAATGGTTTTTCTAATGTGAATCGAGACTGATCACAAAGGTTGCTCTGGCATCATGTTCTAGTACTCCATGATATTGTGCCTATATGCAAGAAATGTTAAATTCCATGATTCCAGAAACAACCTGATTATCCCTCTTTGATATCATTTCAGTTTTGATTATATGGGAGTTTAGATAGTCATGGAACTTTATCAGTAATGGAACACAGTGTGCTTTGCTTTGCTTCCCTACAACCCTTCCATTTTTTTCTTTCATTGGGAAATGCAGGTGGAATGAGAGTCAGGAGTTGGCTTGTTGCCCCTGCATTTATATATGGATATATATGTATATATACTTTATGTTGTTTAAATTGTAGAGCTTAATGTATCTAATAATTTTCTCAAGAGATTAACTGACAAGTCATGGAAATGTATCTAAATGCTTCAATATAAAATGTTCAATAAATAAAATATTAAAATGAAGTTTCTTTAAAATGTTGCCATTTAATTGATCAACAAACTTTTAAGTCATTCCTAAGAAAGCTCCAGTGGATAGGACAGAAGTCAATATAAGTAAATTATAATTAAGTAACTTCTTAATGAGTATGGTACTTTAAATTCCTCTTTACATTCTGACTTTGCTGTTAGATAACATTGTTACATGCTTTGTTCATATGAGTCACTCTCTTTTGTTTTCAACCCGGATTCATTCATCGTTTATTCATTCTTGAACCTTGATATTCATGTTTTACTCCACATACTTAAAACCCTATGTTCATTTCATTCAACTTAGCTTTATGTTTCCCCAGATGTATCCCTCATTTTCAACTAAAAAAACACTGTGCATTAGGTTCTCAACTTACAACCACAGTTATTGAATTTTATAAATCTGAGTACATACAATGAAGAAGATAACATGTACTTACCTTGCTACCTTACATATTCCCTTATATTGTAAAATGTGCTTGGTACCTGAACAGGGTGAATTCTCTCCCTTTTCCAAAAGTGGATGGAGAGTTAAAATATTTGAAAAACTGAACTGAAAAAGTAGCAAAATTCTGTTTCATCAACATATTCTCACTCTATTTGCAGCACGTTAAGAGTAACAGCATCTTACTTGTTGATTTGGATTGCACTTTGTGGTAAATTGAATTTTTTTAATTGGGATTTGAATAAGCTACATTTGGCTCAATATGATACTGTTAAGCCATAACAGAAGATGGGTTCACATAACATACTCTGAATGGTAGCGAAGCTATATTAAGACCTAATATAATGTATGGTTGAACTCATATTTGAGATGAAAGAAAACTACAATTGTTGAAGTTCTACACTGTCAACATTTCTCATATAAACCTGGTAGGCTGTCTGTATGATGATAGAAAATGGGATGAGAGTGTGAAGAAATGCTCTCTTGTTGCTACCTCATCAAACAATTATTAGGGTGTTTTTCCCCATTCTACATTAAAAGCCTTGTGTGGCTTGGAAGACATTTAGTGTCAGAACACATCTTTTACTTAACAAAAAGTTCTAAGTTCAATTCTAAGGCTGGAAGAACCAGCCCCAAACTCTTGATTTGCCACTGCCAATCCATATTGACCTTAGTAAATAAAGATGCCTTAATAGAAAGCAATTTCCTATCTTCTTAAATCCATGACTTTTAGAGCTAGGCAGTGTCTTAAAAGCATGCCATCTGCTTGTAATTCAGTACACACAAGGTCAGCACAGCCCACTTATCACACTCTTGGGTTGTTTTAGCTGACGTTTGATAGTGCTCCTAGCCTCCTGAAATTTAATTCTTCACAGGATGGAAGGAAAACACAAAGTAAACAGTCTAATCCAACAACAGATTTATTCCATACAATGCAGCCTGCAGGGCAAATTGTACTTGGGTCAAATTAACTAATTGGCATAGCAGAATTCAATCAA